AAGAATGGACTAGAATCTGAAATTCTCTAGTCCACTTCCAACATCTTAACCACTACATTACACTGGCTTTCATCTATATTATTTGTCTGGCACAAACCATATGTGATTGTTGGAAATCCTTGCATACAATTGGACTGCTCCAAATTTCTGTTAAATATTGAATGCAAACACTTGTCACATGACGTAAGTAGCAGTAGTAGAATCTGATTTATCCTCATTTGTTTCCTTCAGTTCTTATTCCTATTGATGGTGTTAAAAGAGTGAAGGTTAGACCAAAGACCAAAATACTAAGAAAGCACCATAGGAAAATGGCTGACACCCATTGTTTATTTTTCAGTGGACTCCAATCCTTGCACAAGGGATAAGAACTACAGTGCTTTCTTGGTATTTTGGACTACAACTCCAATAACTAATGTCTATTGTCCATTATGGTTGAGGCTATGGGAAATGTAGTCCCATACATAGCATATCATGCATGGTAACACAGAGACTATAGTACTGTAATGGCAATTTTTGATCTTGAATGCAAATGTTGGCCTAGATTTTCTACATCTGCCAACACCCCTACAACCAGTTGCATACTCAGCATATTTGTATTTATTGGAGATTTTATGGTATATCCTTGCTTGTGATAAATATTAAATATTGATGACTAAATTGTTGGAATGTATTAGTTCACTAAAACTCAAAGTGATACCATGTAGAATTCCAGATTTTCCAGCCAGACAGGCTAACGGGGAGGCTACCCTAGATAAATTATAGGACACCAGATTCCTATCCTTTGCTGCAGGAAACATCTATTGACAAGGATGGGGCAAAATATTTTGTTGCTTGAGGCAAAAAACAAGATAGCTCCTGCCTCACTCCTCGATATCAAAATGGACTGGATCGTAATTCATTGGTATTTCAACATGGGTGACAGGGTTTCTTCTTCCATCAAACCTAAGGAAGTTTAATCACAAAGACTATTTCTGGAGGAACAAGACTGGCCATTCTCCCTTAGGCAAAGAGAGGGACCGATCTCAGCAGCTGACACACAAAAGGGGAAAAGGGTTAGGGCTGCCTGCTGAGTAATCCCCAGGCAAAGTAGAAGTAATAAGCAGTATGATGGGAATATCTTAAACAGATGTTATTTGATATACTAGATGCAACATCTGCACTGCAATGTTTTCAATCTGCTCTATCATAGATATATGGCCATGACACTGACACAAACATGTGGGTGTTTCTCCAAACAGTGTGCACATAAAAAACACAGTAATGACAGCAGTTCACACATGTTTGCATTCAAAGATGCTTTGTTAGTCATTGCTACTACACAAAATTTATGTGAGACCTTTACTACTGCAAAATACTCTTCAGGCTTTATTATGAGCACCTTGTGTCACCCCACCCACCCACCCCAAAAATT